CCCCACCCCTCCACCCCCTCAGCTCCCTCTAAGTCGCTTTGCTTCTTCACATCACATGGCTGAGGTGTCTCAGCATTCCATACCTTATTGGGCAAAACTGAGGCTGCTCTCTGTGTAGTCTTAGCCTTGGATTCAGAGGGATTGACTTTCTTTTCTCTTTCACCCTCTGAACTGATATTGTGTTCCCTCCACCTGTGTGCTGCATGTGAAAAACCCTGACCCCTGAACCTCATCACCAGTCCCTCTGACTTGGCGCAGCCTGTCAATTCACTTGAGTTTCAGAGAGGATATTCTATCAAATTGTGTTTCTGAAAAGAAGATAAAATAGATGCCACGGTAACAACAATAAAGAGAGGTGACAGAGATGATAAGTCAGTGAGGGGTGACTTTTGCAAGACTATAGATAATTATGGATGTCCTACGTGTAGTACAATATGAATGGAAAATGGTTTCCCCTGTGCGAGCTGACTCCAGGTCAGCGGTTCAGCTGTCCCTGGAGCTGCTGGTGGAATCTGAAACAGAGATCTGCTGGTAACCTGAGAGTCTCTTAGCGTTACTGAGGGGACTATATCTGTCTGTGATAATCATACCGAGCAGCGAGGTTTCATCAGAAGCATGACAGGCTGCCCATCACCAGAGCCGACCTCTGTGTGACTCCATGATGATCTGAACAGACTTTCCACATTTCTTTCCTGCAACAGAGAGAAAGACAGGTGCAGAGCAAGTCAGCAAAGATATTCTTCTTCTTTTGAGCTTATTGGTGTTGATTTTAATACAACGGATAACCAGAGTTAGAGCAAGCTAGACTACTTTTACTTTGACCACATTTACTCTAACACTGTGGTTGCCACTTATTTTGTGTTTTCTGAAAATACAGGAGGATTTTATCTCATATGGAAAGTCCTGAAACTAAGGCTGAGGATCAGACTGGGGGAACTCCAGCTGGGATCAACGCTTAATAAAAGTCTCCAACACGAGTGCCAGTGTAGTTCACTGCCACCAAGTCATATCCTCTACAGATGGTCTCTGAAGATGAACTGTATTACAAATATATAGTATATAGAGTGGAAAATAAATACAATATTCAGTTTCACTTTTTGGAAATTACATGGGTTATATCTCAAACCAGAAACAAAGCCATCACTATCAATCTTTTAAGAGCTCAAGATGCAAGTAAAGGTACTTGAATGTTAGGTGTGATCGGTTGTTCACTAGCACTAAAGCCACATCACATCATCACAGCCTCTTTGTCATATAATCAAGTCTTGCGATTTCATTTTCTTTTCCTTTCTCTTTCAAATTCTCTCTATGTTTCTATTCTGAGTCTCTGCTTGTATTTCTTTCAGTACTATCTTTCCTTCAATCTATTTGCCCTGAGCAGGGATGAGGGAGTTTAGGAACAGCGAGGGGCTGCGAACCTCACTATAAAAGGAAGATAGCAATGAGCCGGCTGGTGCAGATTATGTGAAAAAAGATAGGGGAGGTGCAGGGTTCTTGAGAGGAATAGTTTGACATTTGGGAAATATGCTTATTTGCTTTTTTCGGAGAGTTAAATGAAGATTGATACCACTCTGAAAGGTAAACATGAAGTTACAACCAGCAGCCTGTTACAGTAACTTAACTTTGCATAAAGACACAGACAACAGCTAGCCTGACTTTGCTGAAGGTGACAAAATGAGACTGCCAAACAAATTACAGCATCCATCATTTCAGCAAATCCTCAAAAATATTTACGTTCAAGTTACAAAGCCCTCTAGCGTCTGTTATTTATGACCTTTGTTCACTGGGAGCAACAGAGGAGGTCTTATTGTACAGCAGCCACATCCGTAGAGGGATGAGGTCACAGTGGATGGACAACAGAACATCACACTTTAACACGAAAGACTGTTACTTGTTTTTTGTTTCTAACACTAGTTTCTTCAAACTATCGTTCCTGATCCTTGAGCACATGGTTAATATTGTAACCATGGTGATGAGGGTCCACTAGCTTTCATGAAATAGTAATTTTAAAACCAAAAATCTGACCTTTACCTAAATCTTACCAAACCTAAACCACAGTGTTTCGAGGTCTTAAAAGAGATTTTTTTTGTAGTGGTTTCAGAAGGCAGAGACAAACAACATTATTGATAGTGACATCAAATCAGAAAATGAAAATTAGAGGTGCTGGGAGGTGGCTTTTGGTTCCTTTGCCTCGGACACAAGCTAACTGTTTCCCCATGTTTTCAGTTTTTCTGCTAAGCTAACTGGCTGCTTGAAACATGCCTTTAATAAGATTGTGAATTTGAAGAAAGATGGAACAGCTACTTAATATTTTTGCAAAGCTTATAAGGCCACAGGATTACCCACAAAAAAAGAAGACAAAATAATCAATATCTTGTTCACCCTGCAGGGATAAAATGTGAAATAGATTAAACTTATTTAGGTAAGATAAGACACATAAAATAAGATAAGACACTGTAGGCATAAAATGAAATAATGTTTGGAGACCAGCAACAATAGAAAACAAGATAAAGCAAGATAACAAGATAGAGGCTAACTTGGTAATAGTTTACAGTCTGCAGGCCTCAGTGCTCAACAGCTATGAGAGGGTGTGTGTGTCTGTTTGTGTGTGGGTGAGAATTTTTCAGGGGTTGTGTGTGTGTGTGTGTGTGTGTGTGTGTGTGTGTGTGTGTGTGGTGGGGAGGGTGATGGAGGCTACAGCAAGCTGTTCTTCAGTCTGTTAGCTCAGGCCTTGATGACTCTGTATCTCTTCCCCGATGGCAAGGGGACAAACAGACTGTGACCTGGGTGATTTGGGTCCTCACTGATGTTGCCAGCCTTCCTCTGTAGATAGTTAGGATAAACTTTGTCCAGGTTTGGGGGAAAAGTTCCCACAATCCTCTGTGCCATTTTTACCACCTGGATCAAGTCCTTCTATTTCTTCGCTAGTGCAGCTGGCACACCACGTCGTGGCACAGTGGCAGGAGGGATGTTTGGTCTTTTCTTAGGAAGAAAAGCCTCTGCTGAGCTTTCTTCCCCAGGTGGGAGGTGTTAAGGGGCCATGAGTGATCTTTTGTTTTATGGATTCCCAGGAATTTGATGTTGTTGACTCTCCTCTTCACTATTTATGTGGAGAGGGGAGAGGGGGGGTGAGGTCTGTCTGAATCTCCTTAAATCCAAAATGATGTCCTTGACTTTTGGGGTACGACTAGGACCAGGACTAGATTGTTGTCCGAACACCACTCAACCAGATGTTTGACTTCCTCTCTTTACTGTGTCTCCTCAATGTCAGATGTAAGTCCCACTGTAGTGGTGTCATCAGCAAACTTCACTATAGTGGACTAAGCACAGAGCCCTGTGCTGCACCTGTGGTCAGGATGAGGGTCGAGGACATGTGGTTGCCCATTCTGACATTCTGTGGTCTGTTAGTGAGGAAGTCCATAATCCATGAGCAGAGTCAAGTGGCTAATCTCAGGTTTTTGAGTTTGTCTTCTGGTCTATGGGGGATTATAGTATTGAAAGTGGAACTAAAGTATAAATGTTATATAAATGTTTGGGTGCTCCAGGTGGGACAGGGCTGTATGAAGGGCCAGACTGCATCCTCTGCGGATTTGTTTGCTTGATACGCAAACTGGTGGCTGTCCAGATCAGTGGGGGTGATGGCCTTGATGTGAGATAGTACAAGTCTGTGAAAGCACTTTAGAATAACTGAGGTTAAGGCAACTGGGTGATGGCGACTACAGCCTGTTGTAGGGAGAGGTTAAAGATGCTGGTGAACACCCCTGCACATGACTCTAGTGTGTGTCCTAACACCCTGTCAGGTCCTGCTGCTTCAGTGATGTATATTTTCATCAGAGTGTTGCTGTGGGACGAGTACATGCTCCACCTTAGGTAATTTCACTTGAAGCTGCTGTTTTGGTTGTAGAACTGGTTCAGGGCAACATCATGGCTGATCTGCGAGGTGCTACTCTTGTAGTCTGTTATAATTGTCATGCTACATGGGCTTTTGTTTTCAAAGTGCCCTTCAATGCACTGCTTGTACCTGCACTTAGCTTCTCGAAGGAAAAAAGAAGAGACTGGCGACCCCGCCTCCAGCCCAATGTCAGCTGGGATTGACTCCAGCCCCACCCCCTCACCCCCCGGTGACCCTTAAAGGATAAGTGGTACAGCTAATGGACGGATGTAAGAATGGATGGTAAGAGGAAATGTGGCACAAGTGCTCTCTGTTAACACCATGTAACACACACACACAACATCATCTCCTCTCCATCACACTGCAGGGTGCACAGAATTACTTGACACCTCATGGTTGTTGATGGCTCCTCAGGTAATACTGTCAGTTGACCTTCCAGGACACAAACTGCTGCAGCCACCCCACCCCCTCGCCTCTGTGCTCCACCTCCCTTATCCCCGTCCACATCACTGGACAATTTTAGCCCTCAGTGCCGAGTCCGGCCGTAGCAGAGCTTCTGGCAGGCTGCCACAGAAAGCTGCCAAAGCTGAAGAGAGAAGGGAGAAGCAAGGGAGTTGGGGGGACTGGGAGGGTGACCAAGCAGTGAAAGGAGAAGGAGAGAGAGAGAGAAAGCAAGAGAGGGAGGGAGATGGAGAGAGAGTGTATAACTTTGGAAAACATAGGAAGAGGCAGCACAGGGAACAAACTTTTCTCTGTTGGCTGCTTTCTCATGGACTTTTTCGCATTTTATGAAAGACCTCAGTGTTGACAGAGCGGAGACAAGGGATGCTAATTTGTTTGCTTTCTAACTAAGAGTTATTTCTCTGTTTTTGTGATCAGCAGATATTATTTTGTTTTGTTGTTCTTTGCATTTTTATCTGATTATCGCTTCACTGCCTGAGCTTTGAAGAAGGCGTGACCACACATCTGAAATCCTTCCAAATTTAGCCACAGCTCTCTCCAGCTCATAGAAGAGTCTGAAGCTGGACAGAACACACGCACACACACGCACACACACGCACACACAAGCACACACACACACACACACACACACATACACACACACAGACACACCTGTTGTTGCTGAGGATTCCCCGGGAACACAGTCATGGGCATCTGCGTCACTGTTGCTTGAGGGAATCTGTGCGTCTGTGCAGCTGTTATCTGGTGGTGGCCTCAGTGAATGTTACAGTAGAAGTTGACCTGCCTGTTGAGGGTAGAGGAGGGAGATGTCATCCTACTACCCACGCACCAAGGACCTGACTCGCACCAGAAAGTCACTGACAGATTCACCACCGTCCTCTCCGTCCCCTACAGACAAAAACTACAGAGTAAGACCAGAAGCTTTTCTTCTAGAGAAATACACCTTTTTGATTTTAAACTTTATGATGTCACCAATTTAACAGATGTGTCTAATTTTCATACCTCTGCATGTGTAATATGTTTTCATGAAACTGTTAAAAATGATGAAATGAAACTTGAAGAAAACATTTTATTTCCTGTAGGTGTTAGTGACTGATGCATAAACAAGATTTGTTTTTCTGGATTCAGACTTAATCTTCTAAGTCGGCTAAAAACCTGACAGCGCAAGTTAAATCGGCAGCAATATCTATAATTTATTAATCATATTAATCATATTTCAAGCAAAAATACCTTACAGCCTTAAATGTGAGGAATGGCTACTTTTCTGTATCATATAAATAAATCATAAAGTCAGATATAAGAAAGAAGTTAAAGACTGCGCATATTTCACCATTTTCATATAAATCTTTTAGGCAAAATTAAATAACCTTCAGATTAACTGATAACAGAAATCATTGTCAGTTTAATAAAGTATTATGTGTTTGGACATGTGCTGCTTGAGTGTATTCAGTAAAATGAGCAATTTCATAATTTCATTAACAGGACAAGAGTTATTTCCTGTTTCTCCTATTTTCTATGATTGTGCATATTTACATGAAGAAGTGCCACTCCTGATTCTCTAAATATTTTGATTAAAAATTAACAAATAACTTGCAAACCACTCATCATGTCAGCTTGTTTGATGACTTGTGAAAGAGAGGCGAGAATTTGCTCTGAAGCGCTGAGAGTCTGACCACACTTTCTGGAAAAGACTTTTGGATTGAAACATTCCTTGTGTAATTTCCTGTTATTTTTTTTCTGTCTAAGTGGCTTATTCTCATGGGCGTTGTTTGACTGTTGTGTTTATGTCAGTGCATCAGACTTGAGCTGGACAGTGTGACAGGCACATTTAAAGGGACAAACAGATGTAGAATTATGAAGCAATGTGAATCTGTCATGTACAGTAATGTCATGCAACACTACAGACGCTCTCATTGTGGTGCAAGTTCCCGGCGGTAAATGGCACCAATGGATGCTGTCATTCTTTTTGCTCTCTTCAAGAAGTGTCAGTCTCTTTGTGCTGTATCCATGGTGAAACTCAGGCATTAATTTTCCATGATGTCAGCCCAATCTGAATTGGCAGCGTTTTCATGGGAGAGAAAATGCAATGCAGAGGGGGTGGAATCAGACTGATTTGGTATTTTTAGCACTTGTCACAATGTTTTGATGAAAACCTGGTCCTGTTTAGTAAAATACAATGTCTGCTCCAGCTGTGAGCAGCAGGAAGAGGTATAAACATTAACACATTACATTACTGGATGACACCCATCATTAGACAGATGTGGGCCGTAGTAGGAAGTGACTAAGTACAAGTACATTTACTCATGTACGGTACTTAAGTACAAATGTGAGGTACCTGTAGTTTACTTGAGTATTTACATTTTATGCTTCTTATATTGTATCTTTTATAGTTTATAGTTTTACTCTGCTACATTTGTTATGTCAGCTATAGCTACTTTCCACATTAACATTTCACATATAAAAAAAATGACAAGCTTATAAGACACAACACATCATTAAAGACATTTTGGCTTGCGACAGTGTGTCTATGAGTTCATATGTCTATAAGTTATTAGCAGTTCCACCAAACACATATTTCCTCTCTAAACTTCTCAGATGGTGATTTAAATAACCGTCGAGGTACAAAGAGAAACAGTTATGCACTACTTCATAAAAAAAAAAAAAAAAAAAAAGACAAGAGAATGGTTTGAAAAATGAATATAAATTTGTGTGGCAGAATTTGGCTTTTTCTCTCTTCAGCACCCTATTAATCATCTCACGACCACCAACATTTATGATATATTGGGACCCTTTTGAGGGGCCTGACCCTTTAGTTGGACTAGTTTAGTCCATTGGTCTCCAACCTAAGTGTTTAAAACTAGCTCCACCTCAATCAGCTACAACAATAAAATGCTTGTTTACGCACTGATGCATCATTATTAATAACAATGTCACATACAAGTCAGTGACAGTACTTTTAATTTGATATTTTAAGCACATTTTGCTGATAATACTTTTACTTAAGTAGGATGAAATGCAGTATTTTTACATTGTGTACATAGAACTACTTTCACTACTGGATGTGAAGCATTTTGAGTTGGTGCAGAAGAAAAAGAAGAGGAGGATGTTCTCAGTGGCTAGGTGGTCACTTCTGATGTACTGTTCAGAGTTAGTGGAGAATGAGGAGTGGCTGAAGTGAGGAAAGGTGAGTGAATGTGGAAGAAACGTCTTTTATGGTTGTGCGTGCAGTGTCAGCTCCAGTAGTGGGGGTGAAAAGAGAAAGAGAGAGAGAGAGAGAGAGAGAGAAGCTCAGATTTTCCTACAGCAGTCATCCAGTCAGCTCTGAGGGGAAGATGCTGTGACAGAGAGAGGGCACGAAGAGAAAGAAGTGAGATGGAGGGTGAAGAGTCGTGTAATGATGATTTCATTGGCTTTTGAAAACTGCTGTTCAACAATATCATTCATACTTCTTAGCACTGTGCTAATGCAGGCAGCCTGTGTGTGTGTGTGTGTGTGTGTGTGTGTACCTCTGACCCCCTCCCTGACGGTGTTATAATGTTGGTCCTGGCAAACCATAAAACTGGAGGCAGTTGCGTTTACAGAGCACCCGTGGTTCAAGCATGCACCCGTTCGTCAGATACAGTCTGATCCCCTGTTGTTTTCTAACCTTCGACATCTGCTCTGCCTCTCATAGTTTACTGCGCTGCATGTGCCACTAGTGACTCCCTCTATTTCTCCTAACAAGGAAATCAGGTTGGTGCAGCTGCCATCAGAAGTAGAATTTAAACTATGATTCAGTTTCTGCCTTTGGGTCCATGTGAGCAAAAAGTTTCATGATGCAAAAATACATGTAACATCATGGATGCATTACTGTAAGGATTCTCTCTTTTACCCTATAAACCCCACAGGGCTCCCTCAAAATCTCTTGGGATTGGAATAAAGTTAGTAAGAAACTCATTTCACCAATTTCCTAATCGTGGAGTGTGAAATAGGTTTCTGTACAGGAACTAGTCATCTTGAAAGAGTTTGGCTCATATCCCCGAAAGCAGGCTTAATGATAATTTATTCAGAAAGTCCAATCATCCCACTTGATTAATGAATGTATATTGAATCTGATTGAGGGATCTCCTCAGTATTGCACAAAGAGATTGGAGTGAGTGAGAGCTCTTCTCCAGAGCTCCATCCTTGGCACTTCTTCATCTGAGGTCATGGAGGTCTGTTTTTTCCTGGATAGCTCTGCTTAAGCACATGACCACATAAGGACAGGCAGCGCTGGCTCAGTTATGTAAACACTTGCTGGGGAATAGCTCCTTTGACGCTGCGTGAAATATCCCCCTAACTCACCAAATGTGAGCACAGGAATAACTGTTCCTCTAGACATAAATTGTCCTTCTATAATGCACATGCTTTTAACCCCCGTCCACATCTGCTTCTTGTCTCGAACGGCTCGGACCGCCACACAAGATGTTTATTGCAAAGCGTTTTTTCAACAGAGTTTTTTAAAGACTCCAAATCTTTGAGTTTAGGAGTAAAGTTTATGAGTCAGCAGCAGATATTGCAAAGAGATCATGGATCACTCTGGCCTGATATTATGGTATTTTCTCTCTCTCTCTCTCTCTCTCTCTCTCTCTCTCTCTCTCTCTCTGATAAACACTTTCAGTCATCCACCTCTCATGTGCCACGTTTATCAGCTGCTGGCAGTGAATTATCTGTTTGTTCAGAGCAGAAACGGATCTGGATGGAGGTCTGGATAGATAGAAATTTTTATAGTGGCGACTCAGTTCACCCAGAGTATGCAGCGTATGACATTTACATCAGCACAAGGAAGCAGTAGACACATAAACTACACCCACCAGTGTAGTGCTAATTAACTATAGGCCCGTCTTTGAGGGAATATGAACTCTGAAAACACATATCTGAGTCAAATACAGCTAGAGAAAAAATATATACAACTTCTGTGAATGTAGCACAACATCCAGACCTCGTGGTGAAATGAAAACAAATTCACTTTGTGATCACAACGGGCAACTTGGCAGCCATGTGGGCTGGACTGGCCATAGCAAAAACCTGCCAGGACAGTCTGCTATCAGTTTGTTGTCAGAGGTCAGCCGTCCACCCGTCACACAGGAGATACTTAGCTTCCGATGTCATGATGTCATCTTTATACTGCAGGCATTTGTGTGGCAGCCGCCTATTCTAAAAGATTAACCGGGCTCACCGGGGAGGTTTGACCTGTGTGAACCCTGTCAGTGCAGTGATGGGGTGAAATATATCTCACTTCTGCATGCACTTTCTCCCTCTGGGACTTCGGGCCTCTGAACACGCTGTGATAATTCACTTGGAAGTTTTGCTTTTCCTTTCTGTTGTATCAAAATGGAAAACATTTCACCGCCAAGCCTCTGTTTGGTCTTATCAAACAAATAAATCTGGATCTATCCGCGAGAGAACATTTTTTAGACAGTGTTGTTCCCATGCTGTAATGCTGAGTGATGACGCTAACATGGCTTATTCTTTGTTTTTCAGCATGAAAGACTGTCAAGGTAAGGATTAGGCTTTGCTTTTTTCTCCTGTATCATACAGCTGCATTTCCTGAAATAAAGAAATAAATGCCCTAAATAACTAGAGCTGTGTACTGATCTGATCTGATCTGTGTTGCCTCTAGATATGACTCCAGTGGAGAGAGTGCAACGGACAAACCACTGGGCCGCACCAGCTCGTACACAAGGAGAGAGACGAGACTGGCTGCTCTGAATAGACAAGAACAAGACTCCACTACCAAAGACTATAAGAAGGTAGAAACTATTACCTCAGTTTAAACAAGCACATTCCCTTGTGATTAAAAGCTGCAGTCCTGGATACAGTATGACTATTGGATCACCATGCAGATTTATGGATCTATTTTTGTAATGTTCCAATAAGGGCAGCAGATGGATATTTAATTGGACTTTCAGATAATTAACAGTATCAGCATCTAGCTTTGTAATCTGTTAATAAAATCAGTATTAAAACATATTTTATGTAATATGAGGCTGCTGGACCACTAAATGAACAATATGACAGTTTGACAATATTTCTTCACAGACAGATTAGCTTTCTACTGCTACAGTATGTCTATAAATGCTAACATGAAATAACAGTTATTTTTACTAAACTAATATAAATAAACACCATGTCAAATGGCCATTTGGTAACATATTGTGTTTTAACATTATAAATGTATTTTATTGATAGTTCATTTTAATATGTCAAGTCATTTTAATGATGCTGAATAGTCATATCAAGTTATTGTGCACAAAATTAGACATTGGTCTGTTGTTGATATACTTGGATCATCATAAACATAACTAGGCGGGGACATTCTCAGCAGATTTTTCTTAATGTTCAAGATTTTGATGCATGAATGCATTGATTTCCTAATTATTTTTTATGTACACCCATAGGTTGGCTTCTATAATATATCACTCCTAGGCCTGGTGTCTCCATAATTGTATACATAATGTTACAAATCAAGACCATATGTCATCCATTCTCACAGTAGTACAGATGACTCATTGTTAGGGTGAAATTAGAAAAAAAAACTACAAAAAAACATGCTAGACTATTGCCCAAGCTGAGGGGGTCTTCAGACTGTGAGGTGAGCCTCCTCATGAGGACACAGAGGGAAAGACGATGCTGAGGTGAGAGGCATTTAAGGTACTTTAAAACCCTTCACGCCCGGTTGCTGCAACATGCTTTGAAAATGATTCTCGTCCTTGGAGTCATAACTCAGTCAAATTTGAACAAGCAGGCATGATACACATATTTATGGTTTAACAACGTCTCACAATTTATCTGTTCATTTACTTTTCCCATAACGTATTTATAATTATTTGTGGTATAACATATTTTTTTGCTGATGCTGATACTGAAAAATTTAGGGTTTCAAATATTTACCTGTTAACTTTTTATTAATCCTATTCCTTAATCCTCATTTTCTTCTTCCTTCAGATGTATGCAGAAGCTTTGCACGAGAATGAAAGGCTCAAGTCCAGGTTGCAGGACAGCAAACAAGAACTGGTCAAGATACGTTCCCAGCTGGAGAAAGTCACTCAGGTACAGAAACTGTCAGTTCATCTTTTCACTGCTACACCATCATCCGTCTCCCATGGGTGTGGTGATGAAAGGTCATGACTGATTACTGTATGAAATTATGTTTAACAATACATCCAACCCTTCCAAGATTTCCTCAAATGCTTCACCCTAACGGCACCATTCTAACTTCTAGAGGCACGACAGGATATCAGAGAGGTCTACAGTACTTGAATCGGAGAAAAGGGTAAGTGTCTTGTCAACATTTTGGCATTTATCAAGATGGATGAACATCCACATCTTTCTTGGTATTTTTCTTTCTAATTCTCCTGTCTACTTGAAATTATAGTCTAATGGCCTTTCACTCCTCAGGTTTCCAAGGTACCACAGGAGTATATTTATTTCAGTCCTTTCTTCTTTATTTACAGGAAAAACAAGCTCTTGAGAAAAGAGTGTCAGACATGGAGGAGGAGTTAAAGGTCAGTCCATGGAAAACTAAATTGTGCAGACTCAGCCTGGGTTTAAATGGCATCTACTTTGTCTCATATACAAGTTATGCTTCATTGATCTTTATAATATTTTTTATCCCAAAAACAATAACACTAACAGTCCTTGAATGCACACACCTCCAGCTAAGCCCCTCTCACTCATGCTAAATGTAGCACGCCTAAAGTGTTTTTACAAAGTAAAACATGCACATATAACACACTCCAGGGTTGTGTTTAGGCAGGTGGGTTGGGAGTCAAGGAGAGGGAAGGTTAATGCTTTAGGCTCATTACCCACAGTGTTCTGCTGGGCCACTTCCTGCCAGGCTAAGGAGGAGCCTGTGCTGCTGCTCCCCTGCTCCACTTATCCCACTGTTGGGGTGAACATTGTGACCTAGTTCCAGCTGAATACCAAACCCTATCCAAGAGCAAAAAGACCTGCTTTTGTGAGACATTCCTGCACTGCACTGTGTGTATTCTGCTTCACAAAGAAACACAGGACATAGCAGCAGAGAGATTTCAGGCCTGAGTAGACGCGGTCTGCGTTGGATTCTGTGTAGAAGCAGTCCCAAATTTCACCATAAAGGTTATGATTTGATTGTTACGGCAACATTGTTATATTCCTCAGGAGAAATGAAATCATTGCTCCGGTCTGAGAAAATATAATATGCAGACACTGACGAGAACATTACAAATAGGACACATGCAGCAGTGTGGTACGCCAGCAGCAGATGTTTGACCCCCCCGTGTTGTCGTGGTTCCCTCAGCAGGACGCCCCACTGCGCTTCCGCTGTGGGTACCAGCCCTGAGGGCAGGCTGTCTCAGGGGAGGGGGGATGGTGAGTGGTCGCTATGACACAGCGGAGTGATTGACACCTGCCTGTCACCTCACGTGATTCTGTTCTGTCAGAGACAGGGGCATGTTTACACGCGTGGACACACACACATCACACTGTAAGCTCAAATATACAAGTGTTTTATACTGTGAATGCCAGATAGGCACAGGCACATAATCATCCTCAGGGAGCTGGCTTGTCACTCACTCACAAAGTCACTCGTTCCTTTTTAGCAAGGTTGAGATTCTCCACAAGGGGAACCTCTTCAGTTGCTTAGTCCTACACGTGCCAACCCGCGCCACCTAGTGGAAGGGAAAAATAGCAGCAACACCTTAGACCTACTGATATAGATGTGATTTTGTCTTCTACAGGCAAAGTAACAGCTGCTGTCGTTTGAGCACATTTTTTACACCATTATGAGTGTTACAACTGCTGCTGCTTTTTTGTTTGTGTAGCTATTTAAAAAACTTCAGTGGTGACACTCATTTCTCACAGGTGACAAAAGTGTTAAAAATTGCAGAGGCTGTTACTCTACTTGGCTGTAGACGGCGCACATCGGCACCTGTTTGCTGCTGTTACTTTTCTTGCCCACAGGGGGTGCAGCTTGGGTTGGGGGTTACCTCCTCAGGTCTGAAACTACTGGCACTGCGGCTCTGTACTTGACTGGGCCTGGTTTTGGATGTTTCACATCAATTGCACTGTGTCCTTGTTTTCCTTTTTAAATTAGTGTCCATGTGTCCAAAGTGTCTTACTTTATCCCTTCTTACATTTCTTACAGAAAAGCTGAATTATTCCTAACAGCTTCTGAAACCTAATTAATAGCAGCTGTGTTGAATTATCGCCAGCACTCGAGAGTGTAGTCAGATCTGATTTGATATCAAAGAGCTCAATATTACAAGAGTGTAATAAAAGATACTGGTCATTATGTATTCTCACCTCACTCTATCCTTTTCTTTCCTCTCGCCAAGGGCACCTCTCCAGAAACTGTGCTGTTTTATTCTAATACCAAGAGAACATTATATGCATGAATTGTTCGGTCTCAAACACAGACTAGCTCCAAATTGCTTTTACAAATGTGTTTTGGTGTTGTAAGAAGAAGCTGGATGTCTGCCTTAATGTTATCCTCGGCCATATCCGTGTCTTCAAATTTGTTTTTGGACAGCCTGAAACTCTACAAGTGTGTGTATGTGCGTGTGTGTGCGTGCGCGTGCGCGTGTGTGTGTGTGTGTATTCTGTGGTTTCCCCTCAGGAATGGTGTCAAACCACATTGAGGTTTACCCTTAAAAAGTCGGGCCAGGACGAGGGGGAAATGAATCATTTCCATTCCTTTGACTAATAACTGACTAGGCTGTTGTGCAAAGTCTGAAATTGTAGAGTTTTACGTTATGTGAATTTCTATGAATTTTAATTCCCTCTCCTTCGCAAATCTACGCATATAATGTAACACTTCAGCACCTCACCACTTTCCCAAGGAGAACTATCATCATAATTTGCTTTGCTTGTGGCAGCTTTTTGCTATTTCTCCTCGAATCTCCCTGTTGAGTAAATATTTGTTTATGTAAGTCTTCTGATATGTCCATCAGATCTAGTGTTCTTTTCCCCTGTGTGTGTGTAGGTGTATGGGTGCATGCCTGTATGAGTGTACCACACACACATATATATATATATATATATACTATATTATATATATATATAAATATATATATATATATTTATAGAGTTTCTGTCTTCTTCTTTGCACATGGCCTGCCTCCCCGCATGCTTTCTCTGTCTGCCCCTCTCTGTATCTCTCTCCTCCTCTGTGCAGGCCTTCCCTGCTTTGGCTCAGGTCCAGACCTTACGGAGGGTGAACGAGTGTCTCCTGGCTGAGAATAGAGCCATGCTGCGCGCCCTCGCCCGCCTCTCTGAGACGGCCTCCATGCCGGAGACGGAGGACCTCTGATCCTCTGACATCACCTGTCCTCCTTTCCCCCTTGCTCTCCCCTTCCTTACAGCCACATACCTTCTACACTCCTACTCTCCTTCTGGTGCCTCTACAGCCCCCTCGTCCTCTGCTGTGTTCCTCTCAGGCAGGTCCTCTACCCTCCCAATGCTCACCCCTCCCCCACACTGCAATGCATCCTCCTCTGCACTCTTTTTTTTTTAACCCATTCTCCTTTACTGCCATCAGAGGGCAACCCTGTTGACCCTTTCTCCAGAAACATCTCTCATAATCCTCCTTTGAAGTGTATTTTTAGCTACATTCATGTAGCTTCACATGAAATAAGCACTACATTAGGAGTCGTTTTTTTCTGATTATTATGTAAATTACATCGATAGTAGATCTGCACCATAAAGAATAAATGCATTTTATAGGTATTGATCTTGAAACAGTGAAAAATATGCAGGTCCTGTGTAATGTAGTGTGTAATCAATACTAAGTTGTTTGCCAAGAAAATAGCCATTCTAGTCAATCTTCCAAAGAAAATGAAACGTGTGAGATCATTAGACTTCAAAATGAGCAAGTTCTGTGCCACTGGGTGAGAGACACACACATACTGTGACTGATGTTGTTTCTGTGTGTGCTTTTGTTCATGGACCCTCTCAGGGTAAGAACAGACAAGCACGTTGCTTTAAAGGGATAGTTCAACATTTGAGGAATACTAGTGCTCACTTTTTAGCCAAGAGTGAAATGACAAGATCAATACCAATCTGTGCACTAAATATGAAGCTAAAGCCAGCAGGTAGTAACCTTAGCTTAGTATAAAGCCTGGGGGAAACAAGTAGTCTGGCTCTGGTCATAGGTTAAAAAAAATAGACCTACCTCTAATTTAATTTAAATCTAGCAACCTCACAGTGATGACATGACTCTGGAAAGTACCCACACCCGACCAAGAAATAATTCCAGTATGTAACCTCCCATAAAACCATGATTTGTCACTTTTGCATTTTGGTTTTTGTACAGATCTACATATAACATGTTATTTAGTGGGCTTCAGAGGTACTAGAAGGCAGATTTTGTTAGCGCTGGACACAGCCAGGCTAGCTGTTTCTCCATTGTGTTCAGTCTTTATGCTAAGCTAAGCCAATCAGCTGCTGGCTGTTGCCTCATATTTAACATACAGACACAAGCATGGTACTAATCTTCTTATCTAACTCAGGGCAAGAAAGCGAATGAGCATATTTCCCGTAATGTCAAACTATTCCTTTAACTGCATTTAGAGCATAGCGTTAAAATTCTTTTGTACTGCCTTTGTGGATTATTGTAACAAAGAAAATAAGATGGTCTCCGAAAGGTTATGAACATGTTGACGCCAGGTGCCTTTGCTCATTCACCAGTTTTGGTAATGTGTCACAGCTAGAGCAGAGGGTTACTGTTTGTCTCTAGTAGAGGGGAAATACTTTGACAAAGAGGGTGGTTATTTTTAGCCGTTGCTCCTCATGAGAGACATGACCTAGATTTGGGAAACTGACCCTCTCTCAGTTTCTCTCTCTTTGACTTCATTCTCTTTCACTGTTCACATGCAGAACATACCGTCAAAGTCACTCATCACTGCATGATCAAGTACTGTAAAGCATGTCCTCATTGCCTGGCCTCAAACTTTACTGAGAAACAACTTTTAGCCCACTTGTTGTTAGTGGTGATTCAACATATTTGATCATTAATGGCCCTGGTAATTAGCGTCATTGTACCTGAAGCTATAAATTACAAATTGTCTATCCACAATCCACTTCAACTATACTCCAAAGAGTGTATAGTGTAACTATGATGCTGTGATGATTTTCTAATAGAATTTCTTTCCCTCTGCTGTCCCAGATCTTAACAGAGCTCAAGTCAGACAACCAGAGGCTAAAGGATGAGAACGGGGCGCTCATTCGAGTCATCAGCAAACTGTCCAAATGAAAAGATATCTGAACGGTCCTGTTCTGTGTCCATGGATGCTCCAACCCTGAAATGGCAGTTTATTTATCCATGATACCCCAAGTTGTGACTCCTCTCTGAGTAATGGTGATGGGCCGTTTGAGCTGCATTGCAAAAATAAATTCCCATTGGGACTGGTGAAGATCTAAAGAGAAGTGTTCCGAAGTTTGAGGCAAATTTTCACGGTGTATGACGGAGTTACAGTAATTGTTTCTACTTGATTAGTTATTCTTACTTTGTAATATAGAGTATTTCACATTAACCAAATAGGGACCAGTTGTACTGTTTGACTGGCATTTCAAGACCCAGTTCAAACAAACCCAGGGGTTTGCATGAAGATACTGATATAATACCCACACATCACATTGAGACATCACGTTTGTTGCTACATTGTGCACTGCATAAAAGTATTTTAATGTTGTCTTATTTATGAAAGATGAGAGAAGCCAATTATGGTATTGATTTTTTTAAACTACTGAAATAATCATGCCATATCTGGGTTAAACATGGGGAAAGTGGCTGGAGTCTCAAGGCCCCAAAAGCCAGTTTGGCATGGCTATACATTTGGAAAATCAATATGTTAATTTGAATATATGATCAAAGGGGTAAAATGAAGCCTTGCAAATTACAAACTAACAAAGGAGCTTCGGTTCCAGAGAAAATTATGTGAGCCTCCCATGAAGTGACAACAACCAGCAGAGAAGCGTTGCAAGATGCAATATTTGCGCAAAACTCAGGCGGCATTGAAATGAAGTATAAAATCTGTTCTATCATCTCTGAGAGAAGGTGTTTGAAATACGGTAGCTGCAAACTTTTCATTTCCTCCATAAAAACGATATTAAAGGTTCTGTAAACGACCGTCACTGCCACTAGATAAGGTACTACACCAGCAGCATCTCAGACCAAAACAAAACAAATGCTTCGTCGCCCACAACCCCCCCCCCCCCCTCCCTCACGTTCTCAGTCAGCAAGGTGTTACAGGTGAAAGCGGCACAACAACAACAACAACAAGCACAAGTGAATAAAGTTAACCTGCGTACATGACAGCCAAAAAAAAAAAATGGAGCTACAACCATTACCCTAGCCATTAGCCGTGATGCTACACAGGCTAGCCATAGCAATCGCCAAACACATTCATAATATCTGTAACAGATAAATTAGCTCACGTTGTCATGGCTACTGTAGCCGGTCACTAACGAAAACAGACATTTAACATTACGGAGTCATCAAATTACTTACATGTGGAGGAGAAGAAAACACAGGTCTGAGTCAAGCTGGATCCCTGAAGCTTGTAGGGCTCTCCATCTTGGTAAAGCCAGACCAGCAGTAGCTAGCCTAGGGGATAAATAAAGTATCTATCTATCATTAAAATCACTCATTAGAAAGCTGATAGGGCTTACTGGCACTGGAAACATTTGGAAACACATTTTATATAACACAGATTTAGCTACTGGAGGGAGTAGAGGCTGGTAAGTGATTGTAAAAGCCGGAGGGGGGGGGGGTCTTCTTATCAAGGTCCCTAATCGTGGGACCATAACAATAGAAATGTCACTGTTTTCTGTGTTTCTCATTTAAATTAACATTTTGGTGTAAATACAATGTACGTTTCCTCATATTCAATATCAGGTCTAAACATCTTGTTTTAAACATCTTTAATCTCTAATCTTAATATTTAATCTTATATCGCTAACACAAATTTTATCACCAGTTAACATTTTTTTAAATGCTCAAATTTTGTTATTAAAGTAAAGTATTGTTCAGAAATGACCAGTCTGTGGGTTACTATTGGCAGACTTACCAAAATAAGAGCAAAACAGTAAAAACACTTGCACAAAACACCTTAAAGTTTCCTTAAAATGCTCATTATTTAAGCTTTTCTCCTTATTTTGGTCTTATATTTAAGAAATCACTTAAAGTTAATTAAACCATTAAGTTAAGATTTCCCTCACAGGCTACATTTTGTGCTTTACTTCATTTTTCAGAGGAAAATATTGAACTTTTTCGCCACTATATTTTATTGATTTAAATGAGTTAAAATTTTCTTTGCAGATTAAGATTTAAAATAAGTTGCACTCATACTGTTTGATCAATATTCAACATGGAAAAATATATGTCATGTCATATTATTATATTTAACAAGAAGTTCATTCAGGATTCAAAAGTATAACTAATTGAATGTTTATTGTCCAAATTAGAGTTTGAATTAGAGTGTGGGAGGAAACTGGAGCACCCAGAGGAAACCCACACCAGGACAGGGAGGAACTGGGTCCAGTGGTGGTCTCGGCCTCAGTGACAAGGCTAGAACCATCACTGAGCCCAGTTCCCCCCTGTGTGGCCCAGTATAAACTTGTGATAGGAGACAGGCCTGTTTACGAGCATTAGCCCAACAGTGAGGCAACAGTGCTAGCTGCTGCCTACCGTGCCACCTTCAGAAGTTTATAATAAGATAATGGCCAAGATGGACCACAAGCCACAAATAGCGATGACACTCATGACGGGCCAGAAGTGTGTCTTTTTATTGTTTGCAGACATAGTCGAGTGCTCTGAGAGGTGGGCTTGTAAAGACTTGACGATGACCGCTCTCACACATGGTTGTTCTGACAGGATTACAAACCTAAGTGATCTCTTCCCGCCGAGCTTCTTGGTGAGATCTTTGATGACGGCCCTGCAGATCTGTTTGATGTCTTTGTCATTGGGGCAGTAACTGTCACTCACAGTGAGTCCCTGCAGTGTTTGGTCCACCAGTTGTTTGGCGTAGGCTGCCAATTGCTCCTCCGTGCAGATGTCCAGAACACGGGACTTAGTGAGCAGTCACACGGTGAGCAGGGTGACAAACAGCAGGGTCTTGTTGATGGTCTCTGCGATGGCTTCAAAGCCAGAGGAAGGAGAGTCAGCAGAGTCGGTGTTCTTCTCTGGTGTCTTCATGGAGATCTCGTTGTCCTCCTAGGTGAGCTCTATGGTCTCTATATCCTCTTCTGGGAGTCTTGGCTCTGCTGTCGCTTCACAGCTGGAGGCAAGGGAATCAAACTCTCTGCTTGGTGGCTCCACAATGATGGTAGAGGTGTTTGACTGGACAAGGATCCGTCTTACACCACGGGGAAAAGAAGTGAATCCACTGAAACGAGCAGTTGACATGCTGGGAATGGCGTCCCCCATTCCAGCTCCAATGCTGTTGTCCAAGAACTATGGTCGAGTCTGTGCTGCGTCGTGCAAGCCAGAGGATTGGAAAATTGCAGACACATTGGGACTCAGGGACCTGGTTTCAGGGTGAAAGTCAACAGCTCCAAGAACAGGAGCAGCTGAGACTTGAGGTGACTTGTTCTCCATCACAGAATAATTTGTGTCTTGAAACTCGATGCTCAGATAGGCGTGTGTATCTCTGGTGAGGTCTTCAGTACAATGATCAACAACCAGGGGAACTGTAAGTTTACTTCACATACATGTGTCTTTGATACACAGCTGATCAAGGCAAAATGAATGAGTAATCTAGAATCTGATGTAGCTACTTCACAGGATCTAAAAGCTGCTGCAACTTGCTCACGCACACGTGCATGCATATGCATATTGCAGCAATCCTACACTGGCGCATAGGCACGTACGCGTGCGACTCCCAGCGCTGTTTTCTCCGTTTTCATCATTTATGTAATTTAGTTTGAATGTTAATGTTGGATATATATGTATGATTTTCCATCAGACAGTTACTATAATAATAATGATGTGATTATATCGGGCCGACACTATTTTAGCATCATATACACTGAAATGATGCACTAGCAACAAGTGGCAGCACGTCCGCTTAGCGCTTAGTTTTTTGCAATATATTTTTATATATTGGTATATTTTTTGTTGAGTGAAGTTTTTTATTCTACGTCGTTGTTTCGTCTGACGATGGAGAAAATAATGTACACGAAGGAAAAACTTCTAGCTTTAAAGTGAACCAGATATGGCGTTAAGTATCCCATACTGGCTGAGCTGAAGAAGTACCGTGGATGCAGGGCTGGGGCTAAGCTAAAGGCTAGGAGATGGACATATAAGAAGTATGATGAACTGGAGGCACTTGTGAAGAACCAGCGAGTGTAGCGTGAGTGTAGTGTATGTGTTTCACGGAGACATGGTTGAACGACAACACTCCCGACCGTTGTGTAGATTTACCCAGCTTCAGTGCAGTATGAGCGGACAGAGACGCCAGAACAAGCGGGAAGAATAAAGGTGGAGGACTGGTTCTGCTTGTGAACAATAGATGGTTCAACCCCGGTCACATCACAGTTAAGGAGAAGATCTGCTGTCGGGATATTGGACTGTTGGTAGTCAGTCTTAGACCATACTATGTACCGAGGGAGTTCTATCACATCGTCGCCATTGTTGTTTACATTGAACCACGAGCGGAACCTGTAGTCGCGTGTGACGTCATTCACGAGACTGTGCGAGAGTACAACAATGAACTAATGGACACATAAATTTCCCCTAGGGCAGGGGTCTGCAACCTTTACTATTAAAAGAGCCATTTCTGGCCCCTCTCCCACAAATAAATATCATCTGAAGCCGCAAAACCTATACGACATACAAAGTTTTAATATAGTCATACTATATATACTACATATAAAAGAACTATAGTTTATTGCATTTATGAAATTATAGAACTACAAAAAAACTGTTGACATTTTATTGCTGTTTTTACCCGTTATAAAAAAAGAAAACACCAAACTCTCATGAATAGGAGAAAAAAACACTGGCATGTGTATGCCTTCTTTTAAATAAAACACAGAAATATGCAGGCCTATTTGAGTCCTTCTCTTATTTGTGAATGATTAAAAAAATAAAAAGTAACCCACTTTGAAATAAATAAAACATAAAAACACACACATAAAACACTTTTTTTGGATTTATCCATGGTTAGCTTATCGGGGATCCGAAACTCAAAATTAGCTACCTATTGGCGGCAGGAAGAGGCGATAGGCTGTAAACGTTGCTATGGAGACATTGTAAGATGTGATGTATATTTTAATCGATGAAATATTATCAGTATCAAAAGAAAAGAAAAGAAATTCATCCTTGGATTCATCTGCTGGCCATGAAAATGACACTGACAGAGCTGTAAAATCACTGATGAAGCTGGTAAAAACTTTAAAAGCTTTATGGATATTTTATAGGGTCAGCGGCCAACCAGATTTGACAACGGTTCTCCACATGGCCAGTTTGCCTGTGCTCTGGTGTCTTATCTCTTTCTTCCTCACAGGCCATTTTAGACAAAACCATAGTTTCTTCCATGGAGGAGATTCTGGAAGGTCACCAGAAGGCTGCACACTGCACCATGCCATCTCACTTGTGGGCAGTGCCTGTGTTTATAAATGTGGGAAGGACCAACAGTTTAACAAAGAGGGACATATGCACTTACATGTACATATACATATGCATACACTAACATAAGCGCTGTCAGACCAGATACCAAAACAAAGAAAACAAAGACGAGTGAAACTCCAATTACAACACACACAGAGGAGGTGTGACTTCATTCTCTGCTCAGGACGCTTTACTCCATTATATCTTTATAGGAGATAGAAATAGTTCTTTGCTGCTATATTATTGTTTAAAATCTCGTTTACAGAACCTTAAAGGTGTATGTTCTAGGGTGGACTTGCTTAGACTGAGTGGTGAACCCAAGACTTTGCTGTAGAAATCTGTCACTAACATCAGACAAACAACATCTGCATTTTTCTACAGTTTTCTAATGCAGCTTATGGTCCAGTGCATCATGTTGCATTACAACATCAAACCTGCAAACCATTTCCAATTGCTTCGATCATTTTTATGACATTTCAGTCAAATCTGTATCATTTTAAAAATGAAGTTATGCTTGTTTTGAATAAATTTTCATTTTT